GACACCCGCTCGGGGCACAGCGACACCCGCTCGGGGCACAGGGACACGCTCAGACCGGCCAGGCAGGGGATGCCTCCCCTCACTGCCCCCAGACCCGGCACGGCGGCCACCCCACAGCCATTCCCTGCACGAACCCTCCCCAAATACAGCCCTGACACGCGAGCATCTCCCTTTCACGCAGCCCCTGCATGAACCACATCCATGTGCGGCGCATGAACTCCCCGTGCCCTCTCCACACACATCGCTCTGCGAGCACCCCTGACACACACCCCCAGCCCAGAACACCTCCACACACCTCCTGAGCACAAACCCCAGCGCAAAGAAACCCCACAGCTCCTCCGGAATCAACCCTCCTCGCACCTTCCTCCATACACACACACCAAACCCCAAATTTCACCAAGTGCAACCTATCCAGAACGCCCTTCTCCATTCACAAGCTCCGTTCCTTAAATCCTTTCCCTAAACAGACTGTGTGAGATCCCGGCACATCCCTACACACGCTCTCCAAACACTAAAATCCCCCAATACCCCGCCCTCCAAACCTCCATCACACACACAGCGCCTGTACCCCGAACCCCCCCGAACCCCCCGCTCCTCACACCCCCGAGTGCCCGCACCCCGAACCCCCCGCTCCTCACAGCCCTGCACGGCCCTGACCACACCCCTCTGCACACACATTGTGCGCCCAATACCCCAAAACCCCCCATACACCGCGAGCACAAACCCTTCCCACCCCTATTACACGCTCGGTACAGGAATGGCCTCACCACTCCTCTCTTTCCCATTCATCCCCACCCACCCCACTGGAAATCCCACATCGCTCCCCAGCCACCCCCTGCACCCMTCCGGGGTCCCCCCCAGCCGCGGGGACCCCCCGAGCATCCCCAAAGCACGGCCACAGCCGTGTCTGTCCCCGCGTAGGACACACCCCTGTGCTGCACATCCGCAGCRGGGACACGGCGGGGATTGTCCCCGCACCGCCACCCGCTCGGGGCGGGCACAGCGGGGCACAGCATCCCCGAGAGCCCGGCGAACGTGACCTGGTGGGCAGCCCCGAGTGCTGCAGCCCCCCGGGCACCCCTCCTCCCCACTGCAGCAGGCAGCSGTGCTCATTACCTTCCTCCAGCTCGTCCATGCTGCCGATCTTCCGCGAGCCATCGATGGTGTAAATGTACCGCACTCCCTGAGGCAGGTTAATGTTGTCGGACAGGGACCGGGTCAGGTCCGCCAGGAGGGCGTCAAAACTTCGGAAGCGGTCGGAGGACACGGCGTATACAATCCCCTTGAAGTAGCGGTCCCCGTTGCGATAGAAACGCACCTTCTTGGCTTTCTTCTCGTTACTCAGCGCCTGTAAGGTCCGGGTTCTGTAGAAGCTACAGTGAGCGCTGTGCGTGGGGCTGGGCAAGCCGTTCATCCGTGTGCCTCGCATGTTTCTGGACGCCTTGTCTCTTTCGTCAAAGTGTCCAAAATCAAGTTCCATAGTTTGGTGAGCCCTAAAGATCTGAAGCTGGGCAGGAAGGAGACGGGGAGAGAAGGAGGGCAGAGGGAACRGGTTAGAGCCCAGCAGAGCCGCGGTCCAGAGAGCAAAATGACACTAAGGCTGTGTCTGGAGCAGGACAGATGCATTTGGGAAGCGCCCCCTCCCCTGACCCAGATTTGTATCGATTCTGRGGACTGAAAGTAGGAGGGGTCCTCGCTTTTTGAAAGGGATCCAACTACTGGGGGCAGGGAACACGTTTCCAGAGAGCTGCCTGCTCCYGCACCTGGGAGTTTTCAAAGTGCAGCAAATTGGGACTTGGGGCCAAAGGGATACACGGCAATCACAGCTCAGCCCCAAAAAACTCATCCAGGCACCAGTTGGCAATGAATTAAACCTCTGAGCCCTGAGAGGTTTCCTTTGGCAACAGAAAACAAGGAGATCCCAGTAAGTCAGCCCTTCAATCTGCCGAATCACGGAAGGACCCAGARCATCTGAATGTTTAACATTAGAATAAACTGGCATTTATGAAAGAATGGTCACAGGGGGATAAGCAGTTTCTTTGTGACAGCCTGTTCAATAAGGGTTAGCAATGAGATCCAGCCCACCCTTCCCCCTATCCGCAGCCCCCTCCTAGCCCATCAATCAATTCCCAGGACCAGCCTACATCTCCGAGAAGAAATGACTGCAAAGAAAAAAATCTGTCATTGAAACGCAGCTTCGGTAAGCTCTTTTCAGCCCGAGCCTCCTCTGAATTGCATTTTCGCTCCCGTTTAATGAGGAGGAGAAAATAAAGGGGCTATTTCCACCCCCCGCTTGCAGCCCTAAGTGATTTAATAGCGGGAAGTGCCCGTGCCCCAGGGACACGCCGSCCCTGCTCCTCACCTTTCATTGTTCTGAGCACGGGGGCTTCCAGCACGGAAAAGCCGAGGCTGGAGCTGACACCCAGCGAGCAGGAATTGTGCACTGGCTCTAGTTTATGCTCCAGAACAACCTTTCTCCTGCACCAAACCCCAACACAAAAGGAGAAGGGACCCCCCAGCCCTGCGACAGAGACCCTTCCACTCCCCAGCACTCCAGGACCGTGCCCCTCGGGCTGGCATGTTAACCCAGGGCTGAACGGGGATTTACAGCAGCACTTGGCAGCCAGGTATAAAGCCGGGAGAAGCTGTTGCTRTCTCATCCCCACCCTTTCCACTCGCCAGGATGAAGCTCCTTCCCTGTGTTTTACAATGTCAACGTGACCCGTGCTCGAAAAAAATCATTGTCYGCAGGCTGCAGCGAGGCAGATGACAATGCAGGAGATGTGCACAGAGACCCCGAGTCGGGAACATTCCCCCCACCATGCCGGCTGGGGCACATTCGGTCTGGTGTCATGCACTGAACAATGAAACATCCARGCAACTTCGGGAATGAATCAGAGGATGCAGGGGTTTTGATTTTAAAATGAACTGCAGATGCTGCGAGGCACTAAGGAAAGATTCCTCCTTTCTGTTACTTTTCTGCATGCAAGYCACTCAGGAAAGCTCTACTCACCGGTTTGCAGCGCGCAGGGTGGAGATGCTGAGAGAAAGAAAACCGGGCTCACTCTGCCTTTGTTGTCTGAGCTCCAAGCAAGAAATTCCTGCCAGGGTGGATGAGACGCCTCCTAGGTCCTAGTGCCTTGTTCCATCCCTTCACGGYAACTTTGCCTCAGTGATTTTCGCTCTCACCATCAGTCATCGGCTTAYAGGCTGTGTTTGAGGGGAAAGGGGGTGTTCACTCCAGCTCTGGATAGGTCAACAGATGAMTAAACAAAAGGTTTAAAAAGAGGCACGTTTGAGGGGGGGTGTCTGGAAGGATGCAAATTTCCCCCTGGATCCAGCTGCACCAAGAAATCATCTGGCCCCACTGAAAAAAAAAAAAACAAAAACCCCACAGGATAATTAGATCCCAATCCTGCAGGACTAGCAGGGGGGTCACTACTACAATCCTGCAGTGTGGCACAGTGCTGGCACGAGACTCCTGTGCGTTAGGAAGGCAGCTGAGAAAATCTCTGATCAGTGGGACTGGGCACAGTCCTGCCCCTGTGCTGGTTTTGCACAGCATCTGTGGCTTACCCTGGCAAGCAGAAAGGGCRAATTCACTTGGTGGTTCTGCATGAGGTGCCCCTGAATACTTTTTCTCTGTTAACATTGGACCCAAGCCAAAGCCAGAGCGCTGAATCCCAGTTCATTCAAATCCCCAGGGCCTTTGGGATGGAGTCATGCAGCACAACCCAACAGACCCAGCGTGGCTCATATCCCACTGCAAGGGAAATTTATTTTCTGATTCCRCTACAGCAGGACCCAGCTGTTACAAAATTGTACCGGGCTCTTTCACTTTGACAGCAAAAGCTTTCACCTTTCTGGGTGGAGGTTTCTATCCTGCAGCATCATTAACTCTGCTCCTAACCCCACTGGTGCTGGCCTCATCTTTACTTTGGAAAAGAATGGGATTTGGGAAATGGGACAGTTTTCCCATCTGTAGAAGGAAATCTTTCCTCACAGAGCTGCGTCTGTTCCGAGTGAAAACATCAGATGTTGTCATTTTGGCACATCACAGCAGTATCACATTGACACAGAAGTTGGTATTTATTCCAGCTTTGTCTGCCCTGTGCATGACAGTCCAGGCAACACTGACACAAACCCACTGAGAGCTTGTCTTTGCTTGCCAGCACCTTTCACACATGACATTTGTAAAAAGTCCCTGAAACCACCCTCTTATTCAAAGGCTCCCATGCATCCTCTGCTGGAGCTTTGGGCTGCTCCCTCGTGTGCCTGGTCAGATCCCTGCAGAGGAGACACAGATCTGCACTCCTTCCTCAGGAATCAGCACTGGAGAGGTCTATAGGGAAAAAAATGGAACTGTGACACTTTGGAAAGGGACAGAGTGCAGGTAACAGGGATTGTGTGAATGCTGTGTGCTGACCTCTYCACACACACCCAGAAAATCCAGTTTCTAGCATCACTGGGAGCTGCAGTCTCAAATACTCTATGTCAATGCCCAGCTTTGCYRTGCAGCTTCCTGACTTCCATRAAACATGACATCTGATAGCACAGCACATTCTCTGAGCAGGATATAAGCTGGGGTGATAAGCAGACAAGGTCTGGCTGGACCCCATGGAACATGGGTCCATGGGGTTTGTGCTCTCCAGGCCATATTTCAGTAGTGTCTGGATGCAGTTGCAAGAGGTATGTGAGACTTCAAGCCTTGTCCTTCCCATCAAATCCTATTCCAAATTAGATAATTCCTGGCTCTTCATCACCATCAGCTTAATCTGCCCAGAATTAACAATTCTTTCCTTTACCACAATACCGCTGGAAATAGAAATCTGCCAGTGCTTTAAAAAGTTTGCCAAAGATATAAATCACTCTGCATGTGCCAAGCCCRGCAGCAGCAAGAATAGAGAAAAGGAAGAGTTTTCATTCAGCCTTCAGTGGCACATGCAGCTCTGACAGAGAAGAGGCAGATTTTTGGGATGATGGCTCAGGATCCAGGTACTGCACCAAAGTAACCCTGCAGGATGGTGTAAACCCACATGGAATTGGAGCACAGCATGTTATCTCCCAAGTTTGACTTGCAGGGAATGTTCTGAGGGCAGCAAAGGGTGTCAGGCAGCATTAACAGGTGGCTCCTTGTCCCCATCCCAGCCCGTGCCCACTGTGAGATGAGCACTTCTGGATGGACACGGCTGATCATGACATGGACAGAAGCTGTTTGAAGGATGGGCACTCACTCTGAATACATTTTAAAATAATTCCTCCAGTGAGAGAGCTGGAATTTGTCCCTGATTGAAGGATAAGGTTTCTACRGCAAATGATGGTAGAGCTGATCCTGGGTAAAACCTCGAGTTCCTCCTAAATGATGCCCAAAACACCTCCAGTGCAGYTGTCCCCCTTTAGTCCTGCCACAGGTCCAGGAGGATCTCAGAAACCAGAGCACCACCAGAGGTGAAGAGCCCTRGAGCCAGGCTGATCTCACGTGCTCTCAGTGAAATCACACCGTGTTTGCTTCTCTCCAGGTGAGAGCAGGATCAGCTCATGCCACAGAAATCAGCAGCAATCTCTGGAGGAAAGCAAAGGCCTGCTCCTGATGTCATCTGTGCTGGCCAGGCATGAGAGCTTCTTCCCTGGCCTCAAGGAGTTAATGCCAGTCAAAACACATTTACATCAGAAGAGACTCACCCTCTGAGACCCCATAATCTAAACAATTTTAGGCAGCATGAGTGACTGAGAATTGCAAAGAAAATTCCACTTCCCATCAATAATTTCATCTAGCTGCAAAGGAAAGATAAATATAGCTCCTCAGATTAAATTATCTACTTTAAATCAAGTGAATCATCTTTCCTACAGGAAGGTAATATTTAGACTTTTGCCAGTGTAACTAAATCCCTATAAATACATGTTTGTTGACATTGCTGAGCAACTGTAGCACTTTGGAAAGGGACAGAGTGCAGGTAACAGGGATTGTGTGAATGCTGTGTGCTGACCTCTCCACACACACCCAGAAAATCCAGTTWCTAGCATCACTGGGAGCTGCAGTCTTAAATACTCTATGTCAATGCCCAGCTTTGCCTTGCAGCTTCCTGACTTCCATAAAACATGACATCTGATAGCACAGCACATTCTCTGAGCAGGATATAAGCTGGGGTGATAAGCAGACAAAGTCTGGCTGGACCACAGAATTGTGGAAAAATCAAGTGATCACCAGGTTTGAAGGAAGTCTTGCATCAACATCTTCAAGTCAGTCTATTTAGAAACACAAGTTTAGTTTCATTTCTCATTTTAACCTGTGTTCTGGACTGCTTTGAAATTGTCATCCCTGGTCACTGCTGTCAAAGCTTTACTTGATGTGACTTACACACCAAAACCCTCTGAAACRATAAATTATGATTTCAGGGGCCTGAGAAGTGTGTCAAGGCACTCSCTGCTGAAAGGCCATGGAGTCAATGGCTCAGTCTTGACCCCAAAGAACAACATCCTTTAAATCTGAATCTTCAAAAGAGCTACGAGCTCATCAAAGAATTATCCCATATCAGACTACAGAGTTAAGTTTCTCCTACATAATACTGTGAGCTAATAAGCAAAGGGGACTTGGCAGACTTTCACCACATAACATTTGTTTCCTTTGGATGTTTATTTTTATAGGGACCACACACATCTGAAAGTCTTTTAAATACGAGGGCTGGAGAGCCRAAGTCAGCCCAGCAGCTGGGGAGAGAAGGCTGGAGGATCACTCACTCACCTCCAGAGCAGTGTCCCCTCTGCCAGCCTGGGGACCCTCTGCAGGGGCTGCAGATTGGACCCTCCACAGTCCCAGTGACTGGAAMCCCCAGTGAGAGCAGGGATGAAGTTTTCAGTGTGAGGAAGGGGGAGAGGGTGGAAGCAGCAGCCAGGCTGCGAGGCCACCTGGGTGTGGGACTCCACATGTGCCCAGAGCAGCAGTGTCCCCTGGGTGACCCTGCCACCCCTCCACACCCCACAGGCTGTGCTGAGTCAGGGCACCGCAGCCCCACACCCTCGGGGGATGCCCTCAATCCCAGCAGATGATGTCAGCTTCGGATATTTCTGAAATTTGGGAGGCAGAGGCCTTTGCATCCTCTGAGGGACCATCAGGAAGCTGGCTGCAAGCAAAAAGAACATTTCCTGTGCTAAGGATCTGGAAACTGCAGCTCAGTGAGCTCAGAGATAYTCCCAACACATCCAGAGACAGCAAAGCATTAAAACCCACAGCAGCCATCCAAAGGAAAAACACCTCCCGCACCAGATCTCTTTGGCTCCATCCCCTCCCTGCTGCAAGCAAATCACCACAATCAGGGAACCTTCCCCAGCTGAAAACAAACTCCCTGACAGCAGGAATCAAAGCACCCTTCCCCAGAACACTCCCTGTGGTATTTTGGGTGAATTCTGCCAGAACCAGCGAGTTCCAGGAGCCAGGTTCTGCTGGCAGCTCAGTGGCAGGGKTTTCCCTCAAAATCCACGTTCCAAGCTTGCAGAAAGCCATGGCCATGCCTCCCTCGAACACTGCCTGTGCCCTGGGGGATGTGCAGAACCCCTCTGAGGCTGGCAGGACATCTTTGCTGACCAAGTTATGGATGATACATGGTCTGGGAGACCCAGCCAAGGTCAATCCAAACATCTCAAGTCTCCTTTTTCCAAGCTTGCCCACGGGCTGGATCATAGTGATTAAGAGATTCACGGCAAATAACATAATAACTTCTGGATAATTTTATTTTATCTAATAATTCTGACTGAACACCTGATTGCCAGCCTCCCTCAAAATGCCTGCTGAGTGTAAGATWGGCATGAAGGACTTTCCTGATGGAATATGAAGTGATAGAAAAGAAAATCCCATCAAAGCCATCCCAGGGGATCATGTCACATTCAAGTTGGAAGTGCAAGATGTTTCCTTTCAAACACAGATCCTCTCTGTCACTCTGGAGGCAGTGACAGTGCAGTCAGGTGACACTCRGGGAGCAGTTGTAAAAGATACCCAAACAGCTCATCCTACAAGCCTGGAAATCACAACAGACCATTTCAGAAGTTGTTTTCCATGAGAGTTCGACTYGGTAAATATCATCCCAGAACAAGGCAAACAG